GCCTTCAACGACGGCCAAAATGGAATCAAACAGTACGAAATTTGGAACCTGGTGACTTAGTGTTAATATTGGACCCAAATCAGCCAAGAGGACGGTGGCCAAGGGGCAAAATTGAAGAAACATTTCCAGACGACCGAAACGTTGTGCGATCAGCCAAAGTCTTAACTCAGAATGGAGTATTACACAGACCTGTGACTAAACTTATACTCTTATTAAGAGAACATTAATTTCTATAGAACATTAACTTATTTTGTAGTCGTCCAGACTGCTCCGCCTCTGGACTGGGCGGGGAGCATGTTTATACGGTTGAATGATTTTGTATATATGTAAATAGTGTGCTAATGTGTGGGTGTTATGCAACTATAAATACGGACTTTGCTAAGCGAACTATAGTTAGTTATTTATGAAAATCGTGAAGAACTTGAAGTCAAACTTGAAGTAATATTATATGAAATAAAGTATATGAAGTTAAATATATAAAGTCAAAACATACTGCAAGTGTCAAAGTCTCACTAATTCACCTGGTATTCCGAAAGCTGTAATAAAACCGACTGGCAGACATGCAGAAACTCTTGAAAGAACATTGCTTTAGACTTGCTGGTTAATGCGAACAGCTCGCGCCTCACTTCCGGTTTTATTATTGACCGGTCAACAATTGTGTCATTGTTCACCGGTTACACCCTCACATGTATATAAGCATGCAATGGACATGACGTTTTGTGGACCGGCACGTGAGACGGTTTTGTCCAATCGGCAAACAGGAAAATTGAACTATCGATGTCGGAAATACCGAAATATTTTGGTTTCGAGCATGTACCAAATACGTTACAATATGAAAGCTCAACAAATATACAAATATCTGCCTGAATAAAACTATATAAATATAAGACCTTTTTAACTATAAACTTCGTTTCCCAACAAAATGTATCAGTATTTCAGTCCAACAATCATTTTGCTCACGCTTCTTTACCCGTGATTTTTGTTTTTATACGCAACACATACACAATTTTCCTAAACAACTTAAATTGTTTCAGTAGCAATCAATATGTAAACGGCATTTTAAACTATAGAGCAGCATGCATTTAATAAAAGATGATGCTTCGTTTTGTGAAAGTTTGTTCTACTTTTTGCCGCCAGCGATCTCTGCTATGCAGCTTTCGTGTAAATTGATATTCACCTGATAGTAATGTTTTCCACCACTTTACCAGAGATAACTTTAACCTGAACTGTAACAGTGCCATCAACTTCTTTTCCAGTATAATTTTTTTTAGAAAATGCAATAGCTATAAAAATTTAAATAAAAAATAAGATACTTACTTAAAAACAGGCGCTAGTATTGGAAAATCGTTAAAGATGAGGTCAAGTCTGTTCTGCACATGCGCTATGTGAGGAACCTTTGGTGTAAACAATACCCAAATTTCTGTTGTTTCAACATCATCTAAATTGAAACTCTAATCTATATTCATGTCTATATTCATATATTCTAATCATATATTCATATATTATATTATATATTCATATATTCATATATATTATATTATATATTATATTATATATTATACATTATATTATATATTATATATTTATTATATTACATATCATATATTATATTATATATTCATATAATCATATATTCATATATTCATATATTATATAATCTATATTCATATATTCTAATCTATATTCATGATTGACCCCATTTTTAACAATTCATGAAGAAATTCAAATAAAAAAGTTGTGCATGGTTGCAGTATTCGCATATATAGTAACATTCTCTCGACTTTCTCATTTAATTGCTCTGCCTCGTCCCCAGGCGCTAATAAAAACATTTCATGCGAGTCACTATACGAAAGGTTTACATGAAGTAGTGCATCGCGACGAACAAGCGCAGGGGTTTATGGCACTGATATGGTTTATGGGCGTGAGGCAGCGAAAATTGAGGAGAGCCTGGGAGATCTTGTGCCGTTTCTTGCAAAAATTTGTCTGTTTCTTGCAAATCGTGGTTTTTCGACAGTTTTGGGGCTTTTTTCGCCATTTTTTTGAGAAAACAACATTTCAAATTGATCAATTTAAACATGTGATTACGTCAGATGATATTTGATATCATTTGACCCTTCAAACGATTCGGAGATGTCAACCCTTGAAGAGGTCAACGACGCTGTAGAAAGGTTTATATAATAACTTTACAAGGTATGGAAAAATGACAATGCGTCCTTATCACAATGGGGAATTTATTTTAAAAATCTAGTTACAAGACGTTTTTTAAACAAGGGAGCGATGAAACTTTATTTACATGCAGTATGTTGGATTTTCACAATGCAAACGATCGACAATATTTTGAATAATTCAGGTAAGGATAGCTTTATTTTTTTCTGGTGATATACATGAAGGCATTTATATTTAGATCTGCTGTTTACTTGTTTTATGTTCGACAGCTATTATACAAGATCGGCTAGGCGCTAACCAGAACGCTCATATCCCATTCCCTTTTGCGCGCCTATAATGTGACGCACTACTTCATGTAAACCTTTTATATAGTGACTATATGTGAAATCGTTTTATAGCGCCCGGAGACGAGACAGATCATTGCTAGTCAAACGACAGTTTGGATCCTTGTACTTCAGGTAAAATTTCAATCTGGGAACGAGATTGGTAAAATTTCGGTGCAATATATATATAAACGTTTGTGCATACCGTATTTACTCGATTGAGCGCCGCCCCCGAATGAGCGCCGCATTTGAGATCAAATTTTTTTAGAGAGCGCCGCCCCCGAATGAGCGCCGCACTAAACAGTGTAAAAACTTTCAGCCGTCAAAATGGGGACATCTAGTAACAAAAACCTTTTAAAACTTGTCTATTTTATAGTTAAAAGTTCTTGTCATAATTAACAAATAAAATATTTTTTAGAGAGCGCCGCCCCCGATTGACCGCCGCCCCCGAATGAGCGCCGCATCTGAAGCTCTGAAAATTTAAAGAGCGCCGCGGCGCTTAAACGAGTAAATACGGTACGCGTTCCTTATGTAAAAAAATACTTCTAATCTTAGAGATTTTAGGCATAAATAAAAATTTCTTTGTAATCACGTAATTGCTGCATGTGCGATGTTGAAAATCCGCAAGTTTACTTAGAATACGAACATATTCCTGGGGCCGGTTGTTCGAAGCTCGTTTAGCTTAAACGGCGGATAAGTCAAAATTAACTAACAGATTCACATATTTTATAAATGAAAGCTAAACGGGCTTCGAACAACCGACCCCTGTTCTTTAACGTTGATACTCAGTATACGTGAATTAATTCTGGTAGTTGTTTTGTTGCATGTATGATGTCATCGTGAAAGCGTTGACTATGCAGGGGTATATTTAGTATTTTTTGGACAAGTGAATATAACAAATCCTACAAGTTGGTTGGTCAAATTTGACCTGTTATATTCATCTATACAGATGAATATAACAAAATTTTCAAAATGGCGGCTAGCCGTTTTGTGCATGGAAGTTACTGATAAAGAAATAAGCGAAATTAAAATAAATTCAGTCCCATGCAAAAACTTACGCAAAATACTTGTGTAAAAATACTAAAACTTTTAAAATACTCGACTTCGTCTCGGCGAATATTCCCCGATAACCACCTAATAATTGTTAAATGTCTGTGATTGTACACCAATATAGATCATTCATGCGCGCCATTTTCGTTGCAACGGCCGCCAGAGCTGTGGCAGTTGTAATAAGGTTTACTGCTGGCTACTTTCTTTAAATTATAGTGTGCATCCATCTTGCTTTTTTTTCGCGATTTGTGGCTAGGAAGTATGCCGGATTTCGACGAGCATTATAGCCACATCTGATATCTTACAGCCACCTTGTATTGAGGGCAGCCGCCTACTTTCTCACCACAGCCGCTTACTTGAAAATATTATTATGCAGCCTGCATGATTATCACGAACAAAATTAAAGAGAAGATCATGTGCGACACGACCGAGAAATAAACTTACTGGGACATGTAGTAAGGTTACAGAACCGTGATTCGCTATAATTTCCAGAGCAATTCCTTCCACCATTCTCTGGAGTTGGATTAGAGCAGTTTCGTGTTCTCGTCTGTGTACCAACACCACAGAGTCTACTGCAATTACTCCACTTACTCCAGGCACTGAAGTTACCATGAACTAAACACAAAAAGTAAATGCAATCAATAAAATATATTGAATGAATTTGTTGAAAATACAAAGATATGTTGCGTAATACGCGATCAAAACTATAGACACATAATAAAGACATACAGAAGTGTATCTTCTTATTAAAAGTGCGTAAGGGATTTTTTCAGTCCGCCATGTTCTTAGCAAGTGCCCTAAAGAGAGGCAGTCACCCCCCTGAAAACATATTGAAAATTTAATATTCCAGGGGGGTGAATGCCTCTCTTTAGGGCACTTGCTAAGAACATGGCCGCCAGCTATTTCGGTAAAAAGCGCCTTACGGTTTTGTAATGGAAGTTACACTTCTGTATGTCTTTATTCTGTGCTATAGATATACTTTTCCACTTGGTTACGACTATTTTCAGTTTTCTAAATTCTTGATACATTTCTCAGCGGCAAACAAACTTAAAAATCGATCACAAGTTGTAAGCAGGTTGCATGCGACAATTTTAGGCAAAACTTGTGTGTAAATCTAATAATCATGCAGTCCGTGTACGATCTATTTTGCCGTGTTTTTACGGCCTTCTACCAACTGTAAGACCATATAAGGAGCCCATACACAGACAGAAAAAAATATTATTAGATTGCTTTTTTTGCGCGGGATCGGCTAAAATAAGCAACTATAGATATAGTACTAACCTCTGCCACATGTCTTATTACACCAACAGGTCAAATTTGCAGAACCAGGAACACACAAAGCAGTAGTGCATGCTTCTTCTGTTCTACAATCTAAACGTATATATTGATTTATGATATATAGTCAAATTTCGGTTTATATATGATGGTTTACTCATCATTCGTGTGTAATTAAAAAGCCATCGGGAAGAGAATAGAAGCTGATTAATTCATGCTCATTATAATGCGTCTAAAACATCCAGTTTAAGCCTGCCGCACACGAGAGCAACTTGCTGAGTTAACCGCCTCGCGTGGCAGCTAGCTCAGCAAGTTGCTCTCGTGTGCGGATAGTTTTCGTGAGGATTTGACCTCTCGAGGCATTGAGGAAAATATCTATCGTGTTTGATATTTTTCATCTCGCGAGGAAAAAGTCTCAACGTTTGAGGATGTTGTGAGCTTAGTGCTGAGCTGTTTATGAGAAACCATAGTTTCTTCATGTGACTTTGAACACAATGGAGGAAAATGCAAACGATTTTGTCAATTATGTTGTTGTTGAGAGGTTTTCCCAACGTGTGCGGTGAAAATGCATAGCTGAGCTAGCCGCCAGGCGACGCAAGTTTCTCTCGTAGGCTTTAAGTAGCTTGTACACAATAAGCTATTGAGATTTTGGGGCATCTCACCCTCAGTGCTGTAAGTAACTTCGTTACAAGTAACGAAATTACAAGTAATCGTTACTTTTTGAGTAACTGTAATGGTAACTATAGTTAACTTTAAAAATAAGGTAACTGTATAACTGTAACGAGTTACATTTTGGCCTAAAATGAAACGATAATGCGTTAACCAACGTTTACGCTACTTTTTTCGTTACATTCTTGCGGTTAAAACTTACAATTCACCTCTCAGTTCTCGAAATTCTCCTCACGGTTTTCTACGACAACGCATGCTTCAGTGCTTAACACAGCTGAGAGATCCACTAGTGCATGGTAAGGTTATACATAACGTTTACAAATAATTAACGTCAATCTGCTGACCACTAATCATTAAGTTGAAAAAAATTGGGTTTTTTCTTACTTGAAGTAACTTGTAACTAGTTACAAAAATATGGAAGTAATTTTGTAACGGGAACTAGTTACATTTTTTTAAGTGTAACTTTTACCAGTAACTAGTTCCTTTTTTGGGAATGTAACTGTAACTGTAACTAGTTCCAAAAAATGAGTAACTTTTACAGCACTGCTCACTCTATACAACTAACATTTGCAGGGGTTTTGTGGATGGAAATTTGGAGCGGAAGACTATATACAATTTTGAACCTAAGTTTCTAACCACGGGAGCAGCAGCAAAAAATCCGACTAAAAGAAAACTCTCATTGATCCACACAATATTTCTGCATGAAGAAATATTTCCAAGTTTATAAATAAGCTGTTGGGAAGTTCGCTTTGAATTTTAGGTTAACCTAGCTGGGGGTGAGCAAACCGGCTTTTGAACAACCGGCCCCAGGCCTTTTTTGTGGCCGTTGAACGGACCCCAAAACGCAATCTTGAATTGAGTTTTGAAGGCATGTAAAGACTAAACTTGTGATTCTGGGGGAGGAGGGTAACAGATGCCCCTAGACTCCCTGCAAAAACGGACCTAGCAAACAATCCTGAAAAAACCCTGATAAAGCATTGGTGGATTAACATACTTGGACAGTGAGCAGGACAGGTGTTATTTGCAGAGGTACAGCAGAAAGTCTTGTTTTCACATGAACAGTTCCGTTTTGGATCTGAAAAAAAATTATACGAATAATATAATCTTACATAAATGCAAATGTAAACGGGTTGAATTGGACAGGAAGAGTTAAAAAATATCAAGATAAAAATCTCCACTAAACTGCTTAATTTGAAACTGTTAAAAGACCTGACTTCAGGATTTGCCTATTACGTGGGAATATTGCGGGATGTCACACAGGACGCCTAGGTCTGAACTGAAGAACCTCCACTTTTACAGTAGATCATACGGTGCATTATATACGTATTTAACAATTATTGAATGAGAGTTGAGCATGATGTGAAGAATTATCAAGTCCGTAGTTTGTGTTATTATTTGTATTGTAATTACTAATCGTTGAATACTATTGTATTCATATTCAACGTTATGACGTCATAACGTTGAATATCATTTTTCATGTTCAACATCACGACGTCGCTCCGTTGAATATTATTTAAAAACTTCATATTTGGTCAGCTTTTGAGTTGATATCACCATTTCACAGTTGGCTGTTAGTCAATCAGAAACCATGAATCTTTTAAATATATAATACTTATATTTATTTATGTATTATATATATATCCCACAAATATAGTGAAAGCTGATCATGAAGTCTTACCGGAAACTGGTGTGCAGGTCCTACCATTTCCACAGAATCCTTCATTACACTGACAATGATAGCCATAGATACCATTTTTTTCACTTAGTTGGCATGTGGCATTTTGATGACAACCTGGTTGTAAGAAAAACACTTTAGATATAATATTCACGGAATATTAAAGATGATGTCCACTCCGTTCTGCGCATCAGTTCTGCTCATAACAAAGGGGGGCCCCCAGATATAAACATTGCCCAAATGTTGCATCTTTCGAACTTTTTTTAATTGAAACGTAGAGTTTATATTCATTTACACGCATATAGCGAACCAGAAAAGTGTTAGATATTCAGTTAGTATATCATATTTCACAAATATAGCAGTTCAAAACGTAAACAAAGTTCGCGCATGTGCACAGAAGTGGACATCATCTTTAACAGCATATGCTTACATAAAACGGGATCCGACATCAATTCCGTGAAGAGCGTTGGTCCAGTCCAAGATGACTAGGCCTAGACAATTTACACGAGTGGACACATCAAGATCTTGGCCATCTCTCTCGCCTATACAACTAATTCTAGATGCGTTTTGTAGATGTAGATGGAAATTTCGAGTGGAATTTTATACATTTAGTGGACATTATTATTATTATTATTATTATTATTATTATTATTATTATTATTATTATTATTATAATATAATAAGCATATAATTTGGTATAAATATATAAATATATGTATAAATATATTATATATTATATATTATATATATTATATATATATATATATATATATATATATATATATATATATATATATATATATATATATATATATATATATATATATATATATATTATATATATATTATATATATATTATATATATGTATAAATATATTTATATTTTAGCATATATTTTGGTATTTTATATATTATAAGCATATAATTTGGTTTCATTACAAATCTTTTAAACCCAGTCCATTGGTTCCAGTTCGCTGATGATGCTGCGGTAATAAGCGGTCAAGATTCAGAAAATCAACATCTTTTAAATCGATTCTCGATCTGGTGCCAGTGGTCTAACATGATTGTCAGGGTTGATAAGTGTTCAACATTTGGGATCAGGAAAAGTCTCACAAAATCTATCCAATATTTACCTAAACTTCTGATTAACAATGAATTGATACCTGCCACTAAAATTGGAGAGTCGTTTCGATACTTGGGGAAATATTTTGACTTCAGTATGTCCGAAAAAGAACACAAACAAGAGCTAATCACTCTCATGGACGACATTATGTCTGAAATTGATCTCAAACCTTTGCACCCAAAAAATAAACTTTTGCTTTATAGTCGTTACCTCCTATCCAAACTTTCCTGGCATTTCACTGTAACCACCTTATCAAAAACCTGGGTCTCTGAAAATATGGATTCTGTGGTGAACAAGTACGTACGTAAATGGCTTGGAATACCTATATCAGGAACTCTATCTAACGTCTACCTTACCAGTAACAAGTTTGGTCTAAATATCTACCCGCCGTCAATTAAGTTTGTTCAGTGCCAAACAGTTGCTCGTAACGCCTTAAAGACCTCTCCAAATCATTCCATAAAAGACCTCTGGAAAACAACATCTGAAAGCAAAAACATTCAGTACGACGTCTACACCTCGACAAAGGAAGTCCTTAAAACTTTTACCTCCGGACAAGAAGACAAACTGCAGAATCATCTGATTTTGCAAGGCTCCTTCTTCTCAAATGTCATTAAGTTTTCACTGTCGAAATTAAACGGTATATGGTCTAAATCCCAATCAAACCTCCCAAAGAACATCTATAACTTCACCATTCGTTACATTAATAACTCACTTCCAACTCGTAAAAACCTTACTAAATGGGGAATATTGTCCAACTCTGATTGCTCCTTCTGTTTAAACCCTGAAACCCTTTTACACATAGTTGCTGGATGTCAAACGTACCTCCCACGATTTACATGGAGACATGATTCTGTTCTGA